ACATTTCAAAGACCCCTCATATCTCTTTAGGCGTGGTAAGTCAATCATTAAGAAGTGGAAGGCACCCAGACACTTGTCTCTCCAAAGTGAACAGCCAAGCAAAGAGGTTTTGGAGTTGAGTGAACAACATATGAAATCCCACATTGGCTTGCAAAAAAGCACCAAGTGATACTGAAAATACGTGACAAAAGGTTTTCTGATCAGACAAGATAATATTGGAACTTTTGGTCTAATTACAAAATGTTAAAAGTGTTACATGTGATGTAAACTCAACCTGTCAAAAATTGTGATAGTAATATTATGTTATAGTTCTGGTTCTCATCAGTAGGGACTGGGGAGCTTGTCAAGACTAATGCTAACAACTGGAGCAAATACTGGCAAATCTTGGAATTAAACCTTCAGACCTAAATCAGGGGCAAAAAATCACTTTTCATCAGCAGCAAGACAAGGATCCAAAAGTCAAAGCTCCACTGAAGTGGCTTATGAAAATGAAAGTAAATGTCCTTGAGTAGCCTAGTCAATGCCGTGATTTACATGCCATTCAGAAACTGTGGAAACATTTAAAAACACATTATGAAACTATTGTCCATGAGCTTTCCCCAGGGAGAGAGCTTCAGCAAATCAAACCTGCAATGGGGAATGAACAGAAATTGCACAAAGCAAATGTAAAAAGGCTGGTAGAAAATTATTCAGAAAGACTTGTGGCTATAATTGCTACCAAACATGCTTTAATCAAATATTGAATTCACAGGTCCGAATACTTAAACAGTGTATCCGTTTTTTTCTCTTTAGTTTTGCTGACCATTACTATAACTTGTAACGTAATGTACCATCAGATGTCTTCAGTTTAAGCAAGGTTTTGAATACTAAAAAAAAATGTATATGCATCATTTTGCAAATGTCAAAACATAGGATGCAATAGGGAAGGAGTGAATATGAGTATTGCAAGTCAATACTTTTTCTTCTGTTAGCACCAGAGATCTGAGGAAACATTAAAAGAGATTAATCAGCCAACAACTGTATTCCAGTAAAATGGGACACATAATGTGGTTGAGAATCAAAAGCTGAGTTCTTGGACAGTCTCAGAAGTGGTCAAATTAATAGTGGATTGTGATTCAATGTCATCATATCTGTGAAGAACTCAAAAATATTTATAATGCTTTCCAATCATTTTCTATTCTTTTAGAACTAAAAGACAGAATCCAAATTGTACTAGAAAATTCTAACCAAGTACTGGTACCATCTATCACAGATTTCAATATTAGTCACAGTTTGACTTTATAAGATATCAAAACTCTTGCTAACATAAGTGAAAAAAATGCTTTAATAATATGCTGTGTGATCTCTGTATCATAACTAAAATTTACTTCAATGATGACATTTTAAATTGTACAAATAAAGCATACATCTGCATAAAACTATTCTTGTTTATTTTCTTTTTCAGATTCTGATCTGGAAACATGCCTGACAGCAATTCTTCTTATGAAACTGAAGGGCAGTATGACTACAGTGACTATTATAACTTAAGTCAATTTCATGATTATGGGATATGTGAAAAGAAACATGTGAGGGCATTTGCAAGAATTTTCTTACCGATCTTGTATGCATTTGTATCAGTACTTGGATTTATTGGAAATGGGCTTCTGGCTGGTATTTTGATCAAATATATAAAACTTAAAAGAATGACTGATATATACTTGCTAAACCTGGCAGTCTCAGACCTTCTGTTTGTGGCTACACTCCCCTTCTGGGCTGTCTATGCTCATTCTGAGTGGGTTTTTGGTAGCATTCTGTGCAAAGTGATCACTCTAATTTACACCATAAACCTCTACAGCAGTATTTTTTTCATAATATGCATTAGCATGGACAGCTATTTAAATATTGTATGGACATTCTCCACAAAAAATCTCAAGACATCCCGCAAGAGCTTTGCAATATGTTCTATGGTGTGGACCATATCCATCTTGGCTTCAATTCCAGATTTGAAATTTATAGAACTGCAAGAGTTTAATGGACAGAAAATCTGCATTCTCGATTTTGGAGATGTGGACATGTCACCGTGGAGAATCTTTATGAAGTTCCAACTAAACATTGTTGGATTTTTCATACCTTTTCTGACTATGGTTTTCTTTTATTCACGTATATCTTGTGTCATGGCAAGAACAAGGCCCACACAGAAATCCAGAAATCCTTTAAAGCTGGCTGTCATTTTGGTGGCTGTCTTTTTTCTGCTGTGGTTCCCTTACAATCTGGTTGTGTTTTTGCACTCTTTGCAAGACCTTCATTTGATTTCAGACTGCAATACCAGTCGCCACCTTGACTTCGCTGTTCAAGTGACTGAGAGCCTTGCTTTTGTCCACGCTTGCCTAAACCCAATCTTATATGCCTTTGTGAACCAAAGGTTTCTGAACTGCCTCAACAAGATCCTGAAGAGAATCTGCACAAAGGGAAGACAGTATTCCCTGGAGTGCACAAATTCAACTCCCCCCACAACACAGTGCAATTTTATTGAGTTGACAGTGGTTGAAAAGCTGTAACCCTGAGTACTATAATTCACTGTATGTTAATACTATGTGTTTCAGTACTTTATATCAGCCATATCCTAATAGATGATACACAGAATAATATTTGTTTCTGTTCATTTTCACATGTAGTGTCATTAGTTTATCAAACTTGCTCTTACTTATCACACCACTGTAAATTTTCAATTTTGATGGGCTCCGCATAGACATTTACCAAGTTTTTAACTCGATAAAGGCTTAATGAACATTCTTTGGATTTTGTTTTTAATTAAGCCTCATTTCATTTTTTTAATTCTTTTTTTTACACAAAAAGAGACATGAAGGATGGAAGACACTTTAAAGATGGAAGCTCATAAACAATAGAGAAAAGGGGATTGAGAAAAGTCCCTGCTTGTCATACTATATTTTGGGGATCTTCATACACAAATCACTTATCACAGATCCAAACAAGGTTCCAATAATAGTTTTATTATTGTGGGTTTTTGCATAATCCATCAGAAGAATCCATCAGAAAATCAAGAAGAATCTGGTTAGAATCCATCAGAAGATCGAGTCCTTTGAAGTGCATTGAAGAAAACAGACATTCCTGTTGGAAAATCCAGACCACTGTTGCTCTTATCTAAACATTCCTTGATGTGAGCACCTAACCTCTGAATCTGTGCATGAAGCAGCAGTGCTGTAATTAGTAAAAAAAAGCTCCATATAAGGATCACTAACTTGTTTCCCTAGCACAAACATGAAGAAAGATACAGTTAGTCCACTTTATAAATACAGACAGGGTATGTTTGTACTATGCTTTTGAAATGTCTTCAGCTGTTAATGATATAAGGTGACTTAGAAAACCAGATGGAGTCTGGCCATCAAGAACAGGTTGTTTTATAAACACAAACCCCATGTAGCAACAAAGCATTTTTATTACACTAAGATTTAAGTGTTACTAAAGATGTCTAATAATCTTTCTGTTGCCTTAACAAAGTAGCTTGGACTTTCGGATAAAACAGTAGAAATGTAGCTTAAAGGGGCCTTTCTGATTAGCAGGGATGTAACATAGACAAGGAAACTGTAAAACAGTTCTGAAACTCCCTAATGATAAGTGGAGCTACATGACAGTTCTCAGTCTGGTATGCAAGACAAGGGGTCAGAGGTCACTGCATCACACAAAAAGGTGACCAACCAGTGAGTAACCTGCAGCGTGGATGGAAAGACTATACCAGATGACATTCTAACAAATCAAAAAACATGTTTTCCTTATTTAAAAGGTTGTACACAATTCACTGCTCTCTCGCAATCTCCTCTCTTTTAATTATAAAAAAGCCACAGCCAGGACAACGTTTCTCCCACCCATCTTACTTCTGCCCGGACCCAAGTAGATAAATGCATATAAACTATTAAAAACTGAAGTTCAGCAAGATGCTAAATGACTTGAGAGCTCAGTAATGCTACGTGAAGCTCTCTCTGCACAGAATAAGCACCTGAAGAGTTTAGACCAAGGAGACAACCGAGCCCAGCTCTGTTCTCAGAGTGAAGTTCAAAACTCATTAAGAAACGATTGGTCAACTGATCTTTGAGTATAAAACTTCTACAGTATTGTTGTGGGAAATTCTTCATCAGAGGAGTAGGACACAGTCTTGTGCAGATTGTTTTATTGAGCCTCAATAATTACAACAATGTGTGCTGGGTCTTCCCCACAGAACAGCCAAACTACAGGGTTTCTTGTTAGTTCTTATAGACAGTACAGTATAGTACTTCATGCTTTAACATGTGACAGAAGGCTTGACACTTTTAGTGCTTTTCCCTTGTTTATGGTGTGTATTCATTGTTTATGCCTTCCTCTGTTTATTTTCCTCCTTTAACACTTGCAGCAGAGCATTTGTTGCTGCAGTTGTTGATAGGAGTCACCTTTGTTTGCTCTAACAAATTTTTTGAGATGGCCTAAGATAAAAGATCTCAGCAATCATTCTAATGATTTCTACAATATGGTTCAGTTATATTTTTTTAGTGCTGGAGATGTGCAGTACAGATATAGTTCCTACTTGAAGTATTTTCACATTGTATTCTTGAGAGTTAAACTATTATTCTAAACATGTTTGATAAAGTTTAGTTCATGATAGTAGATATTTACTTGTCTTTGAGAATATGAATATGAGCAACAATATGAAACTCAATACATTTTATATATTATAACTCTTAACATTATTACATTTTTTCTTTCTAATCCTAGAGTGAATGTTCAACCATTGTTATCACAGATGATCGATTCACAAATATATTCTTTATGCATGTTTGCTATGCATGTTTTGGTGTTGTATCAATAAATTGTGTATGGTGAATTTAGAATCCATTCGTGAGGCTGTAAATTATTGTATCTGATTCTTAACAGCTGTCAAAGTGCACTCACAATTTACTTTTCCAATTTATATTTTAGTACATTAAAAACTCTCATATCACTACACCCATGTGAATATCCCCTGTCCAGTTCAATTGCACAACTTCAATTTAGAAGGTATTTAAAAAGCAAAAGTCTCTGGTTGCCATGTTTGCCCCTTGTGGTATCTTTTTTGTCATCACAGCCAGCTCAACAGGGGAAATTCATCACAAAGGTTAAGCAAGTTTGGACAAGTTTGTAATACAAGCTGTAATAGTATCTAATATACTTCCACAAGCACCAGAGAAGTCCTGTGTCTCAAACCTCAGATAAAAGGCATTCAGCTCGTTTGCTTTAGCCAGCTTATATATAGGTACTCTAGCCAACTGTCTCCTAGAACTTTTAAAAAGTGCCTCTCTCCCCTTATAGGTTGTTGGATCTCCAAAAGCCACCAGCTCATCCACAACCACTATACATTAGGTAGAGCAATAGTTGCAGTTTTATTCTACTAACTTTCACAACCAAGGCAGGCAATTTGAAATCCAAGGCCCAAACCGGCCTTGTAAAATAGATATCTAATGATCAACCAGAACTTTAAATCATACTGATAAGGAGCAATTGGGGCCTCAGACACATCAGTCATATCAGATGGAAGGAGGAGCAGTGGTACTTTGGGTGCCGATTCCAATCCCGCAGCCAGGGGGAATCCTACTCCATTGGGCTCCCGAGTAAGGCCCTTAACCCAACTGCTCCAGGGGTGTCGTATAAATGGCTGACCCTGAACTCTGACCCCCAACTTCTCTCTTCCCATCTGTGTGTCTCATGGAGAGCAAGTTGGGGTATGCAAAAAGACAAATTCCTAATTCAAGAAATTGTATATAGCTACTAAAGTGATCTTATCTTATATCAGAAAGCATTGGATGTCAATCAGAATTACCATCCAGTTTGTATAGTGTCTCTATCCCATAAAAAGCTATTTTGAATGGGACTTGTGACAGCGGAACACACCACCCATGCACTTCCCACTCAGCGGTGGGAATGTGCAGCTTCCACACCTGATGCTAATCAGCGCTGCGATTTAAGATCCCCACGAGCCTGCAGATGGCTTTCATGATAGTACTGATTGTGTACCCCCTCATCGGCGACAAGAACTAATTTCTCCACTTAGAGATTTCTCTCCTGTACCAGAGAAACGATACCCCTGCAGACGACTGCCTCTGCCGGTTCTCAGGCAGCCTCCTTACTCTACCCACACTATCACAGACTGATTTCAGTTGAGACAAGAAAGTAATACAGAGAGGATACTAGACCATACTTACTGTTCAGCCACTGGGTAAAACAGTGCACCAAGACCCCCATGATCATGAAGATCTCAATGGAATCTGACTTGGATATAACAGAAAAACCCAAGGAGTGATCAGTCTACCTCATGTCCCAAAATGTGTCTTGGTCACTTTAGTCAATGATACTGCCAATAGGATAGGCTGTTAAAAGGGTGAAAATCCAATAGTAAGAAGAATATAATGGAAGCTTATGTAAGGTTGAGGTTATGGTTATTGTGAGGTCACTAAATTAGTTTAATTTATCCACAATATCCAATGTGTGTGTAAAAATCGAAGATTGGGCACAGTTGAAGGGAGAAAGTCTTGTTCATTGGAATAGAGAATTAAAGATCCTGGAGCCCAAAAGGCTCAAGTGGGTACGGCTAATAAAATGTCTCCAAATCTAATTATGTAAACAGGCAAATAATAATATTTCAAAACAGGCACACAAGCAACTTTTAGATGGAAAATGTGGCCCTTAGATCAGGGGTTTCAAAAATAGTTTCAGCCCCAAGCTTATTATTTCCATCCTGCATTCTGCATAGCAGTTTAATACTTGATTTAACATGGTCAGCTTCATTGGCCTGGATTTAATTTGTGTCTTTTCTGAGCCTCAGTCCGCCACACATTAACTAGACATCCAGTGGGATGCTACTATATCAGTGTTGCAAAAAATCCCATGGTTCTCTTCCTGTATCCAATCACAGTGCTCTTGCTTGAAGATGTCAGGACTTAGTTTGACATGTCTTTGTACATAAACAGTGGAAAAATGCCACTCCAATACCTGTGTGCAAACATCCATAACCTGGAGCATCTTTATTGCTAATTATTTTATTGACAAAAGAATTAACAAAATTGTCTGGTTCACGAGAAGTGGAGTCATTCATATTTCTGTTGAAGTAAATGGAAAGTTGACATGCTTGATTTGTGTAGGCAGATGTTGCGAAGAGTAACAGCCGTAGAAGTTAGCTGTTGTTATATCTCAGATGGCTAACAAATTAATGTTCTTCTGCATTTTCTGTGCTTACGTTTCATCATATAATCTGCCTTTAACCTTACCTTTTGCCATTTCTGTTTCCTGTGTTTGTGTATCAGTCTCAAGGATTGCTTACTGAGCCCAATTACTCTTCCTTACATTTCTGTCTTACATTTTAACAAGTGATATATGCGTATCTATCAGTTGACACAGATCATTCTTTCCTCAAAAACTATTCATAATGCCATTATTTGAATAAAGAAAATTAAATTCTCTTTGCAAAGGAATTTCTTCCGTCAAAAACTAGTCATAATGCCAAATTTCACATAAAGAAATAAATTTCATATCAATTCCCTTTTTCTATAGCTGTGACCTTTCTCACCTTTGGATTGCGAGAAAGACTAAGCACCTGAAGGTTCTTTAAGCTCTATGTGTGGCTGAAAAGACTGGTCTACAGTGAAATGTACATGAAATATCTAATAGCCAGCCACTATCTTCAAAGGGCGCTATGAGACATCTCTAAAAAAACTGAAAAAATAACACAATTATGTAGTTGGTATAAGCATATTAATACATTATGAATGTATGCTAATTGCATAGTGCCTCATGGGACTCGTATTTTATGTTAGTATGCAAGCGCAGTGGTACACTGCTTTTTTTTTTTACTCTTTTTTTTTCTTTTCGTCACTCGGTTCCAGGTCTCATTCACACCCCATGAAGGACAGATAGGACTCTGGGCAGCCAGAGTCCAGGGTACCCTGTAAGCTAAAAATCAACTCTTGTGTCCTGACTCCTGATTTACTGCAACCAAGCCCTAAGACTTCCAATAGTAAATTG